AGCAAGGTTGAAATTTTTGCGGATAAACAGTAAGCTAGACAGACAGACAGACAGACAGAAGAGAGATAGATGGACGGACAGGGCAAAACCTATATATTCCCGAATATTTGAATATGGAGGCATAAAAATGACTTTGCTCTTCCTCCCGAAAACATGGAACTCTGTTTAGAAATAGGTTTTTCAAGGTCTGGGAAGGAGCATAGGTTTTTTTTTTTCGGGGGGATGGGGGGGTGTTCTTTTTTTCTGCCCGTCAAGAAATTTATTGGATTGGATACATTTTGGAAATGAGTTAAGGATTTTCTTTGTTTTTCCTTTTATTATTTTTTTACCATCATTATATATATATATATATATATATATATATATATATATAGATATAGATATAGATATATATATATATATTTATATATATGAAATGATGATAAAAATAATAATAAAAAGGGGAAAAACCTAAACTTCTTTCCAAAATAAATTTCTAGATATTTATATAATGCAAAAGCACAAACTTCTTGAAATATCGCCCGGAAACGAAAGTTTCATAGACACACAGAAATACAGGCAGACGGACAGACAGACCAAAATAAATATCCCCTACTCTCAGTGAAAACGGGGACAAATATATTACTTGTAATCTATATTTAAAATTCTTATGATAACGAAAAAAATTCTCTGAATAAAAATGTGTAGGGCTAAAGTTCCAGGATATTAAATCGAACAAAGTGTAGATTTGAGGAATGTTCTAAATTTCCTTCCATAAGAAATAGTCCCCTATAAACCTTGTTTATGATTTTGTGTGTGGTTTTTAAGGATACATAACACAAACAAAAATTTAATGCCTAGATTGATTTATATTTTTTGACTGATTTTTGAATAGAAATGACATAAATAATAAATCGCTAAAATATAAAGAAATCGTAAGTTTTCTTTGGTGCTAAAATATGCGACTTTGTTTTGGTTCCTATATAATTCTATACAAAATTTTGTACTTAGTTTTAACTTTGTGACAAAATCTTAAAAAATTCTCCAACTTTACACGACGAACATTATTAGATTACATATTTGAATATAAATCCATGAGAAATATTGCTGAATTCTGAAAAGAGTTTGTTTCTGTTATTTATCCTTAAATTGAATATTGTGCAACTTGCATTGCTTAATGTGAATATGTTATAAAATTGAGCTGTTATATATTTTTGAAGTTAGAGGTTCTGACTAGGGATGTCAACGAATATTCAAACATTCGAATATTCATTCGATGAGTTGATATTCGAATATGAATTTAAGATTCGAATATTCGGTATTTTTCAGATTTCATTAAAAGAAGTACTGCGATTTATAAATTTTGATTAGATATCCCCTTTTAATTTACAAGCGATCAATTTTCATAGCCTGATTTCTTTCACTTCTTCCTTATCGTATAGATCTACTAAATTATTTTGTTTTGAGTAAGGTGTTAATGAATTAATGCTTTATGTATAATGTCTAAAAGACGTGAAGAGTATACATGTACATATTTTAATAACTTCACTTGATCATTGAATGGATGTCCGATGGAAGTTGTCTGTAATTAAATTTAATAAAGGGCTCAATTTCAGAATAAATGTGTAAATTACTTGATTATCACGGGTTGTACATACTCCTGAATTTCATTTTCACTATCGCAAAAATAGTTAATTACCTAAGAAGATTATCTATGGAAATGTTTGTTTACATTTTAAAAACATTGTATCAAAGATTATGATCATATTTCTTATTAGGCCGATAATTGTAATTAATTGCACGTATTGAAATCTAAACAGTATACGATTATCCTGCCTTTGGTAAGACGACTGGTTCCTCAGTTGGAGCTACGATAAAAACACATGATTGTATAATTTGTTAAAACTGTACTTTTCTACATTTAAATCAAATATTTATTTCAAACATTGATAAATATCAAAAGGAATTCCTTATTGTACATCTACAAAAGTCTTCATACAATTTTACTTCCAATATAAGAATACCTACGCTAAACCTTTCATGAAAGTAGGATGATACATATTTAAACTAAACCAGATTTTATTAATTTTATTTTATCGAATATTCGAATATATTCGAATACTTTTATTGAATATTCGAATATGAATTATCGACAAAATTGACATCCCTAGTTCTGAACAATCTTTTCTCAAAAGCTGAAGAGTGACTTACCTTTTAAAGACACATATGTGGCATTACGAGTATTAGCAAATAAGAGTTTGAACTGCGCGTGAATTTCTTTTTTATGAATGTCATTATATTTTTTGAAGCTGCAAATGATGATCGCGCAAAACTTTACAGATGGGTTTGTAACTTTAAAATGTAATCTGATATATTTTAGGTACAGAAAGAAGTGTTATCACCTTAAAACAATGGAAAGATCCAAGGAAGTTGCGAGGTAAGTTTTTATATTTGATTAAAGTCAAGCTTAACAGGTAGTGATACTGAAGAGGAAAGGAGGATTCATGGTTTGCTGTAATGATACAAGGATAGTGCTGAAAATATGGAGAAAAAATAAAAACCATGATGTCATTTGATGATGCTTATACTTTTTTTTAACAAAATGTACTCTCAACAATACCGGTAATAAGTATAATGTAAGATTATCATACCAAGTGTTTACCAATTCAATCAATTTATATCCTTCCTTAGATAAATCATACAAACCTCAACTCCTCTTTGTGATGGAAAAATTCCTCTGCAAATGAAATGATTTATTCGGGAAAAGAAACGCATTTTGAAATGTAATATGTTCCATATCAATGACTAATATTGGTTTTGGTGGTCTTTGGAAGAGCTTTATAAAGATTCCTGTGAAACTTTGATCGTTCATTTTGCCCCACCCTACACCAGGAGGATGGTTCCAAATCAATACGGCTAAAAATAAAAAAGAGATTAGCATGTTTCCTTCAAATGCATACACGTTGTATACTATACATTTTTCGGAACTAAAATATACTCAATTTTGAATTTGACATAACGGTTAGGTACATGACTGTGTTTGTTAGAAATTATAGAGATAACATAACAAAGAATTAAAAATTGCTTTCATTGTGTTTTACTTGACATTTGCTGAAAAGATTCCAGTAACAACTATTTATTAAATCATGTAATAAAGGGCACTACATTGATAGTGGAGACATATATTGAAAAAAAAATAACATTTCTATCCGCCTAATTTCTCACTTAACTCAAAATTGAATATCAAAAAACAAGAAAACAGCAATGGTTTGAAAAAAAAAATCATATACCATTAGCAATCCTTCCAAATAACCAGAAACTGTTGTTGTTTGTTGATGTTAAGAAATCCATCTTAAATACTTTTATTTATCTCTCTCTGTCTCCTTAATTAAATATACTCTGGTTCATTTTCAAAGTAAAACACTTCTTATTAATTTTATTGGTGCTTTTATCTTGCAAATGATCTCGTATATGACCATGTTAATATATTCTGTTCTAAATTAATAACTGATAACGATAGCCTAGTGCTAGTGCGTTTGCTTCCTGATCAGGAGGCCTGGGTTCGATTCTTATTCGCCGCGCCCTTAGACATAAATATAGGTAGTGACTGTTTCTTCGCCAAGAGCCCCGGCATTAGAAGTGAACGTCACGGTGCAGATGTCATGACACGATAAAGAACCAATAGGAGCTCAAAAAAGAGTTCAATGGCTCTGAGTGCAGAGTATAGGTCTATTTTTGAAGCCCTTCACCGGTATAAGGCGACGTCTCTATATGAATGAAAAATTCTTGAATGGGGCGTAAAACTGTATACAGTCAATTTTATATGCATAATCATTTTTGTTGGAGAAGCACCCACCTTTGCTCAAATGTTAGGCATCATTCTAGCTCCATTTCTTTAAAGGCCAAGTTTTTTTTATCGATCAGCATATTAGGCAAAACTGATGAAGTGTAATTTTATATATCGTATGTTCGACATAACGATATGATTGATTAATCGAAAGTATATAAATTACTTAAAATACTACATATTTTATATGTGTGATCTACGATATATCATAGTCTATTGTGAGACAAATTTGTGAAAAATTGCTTAATAATTTGCAAAATGAAACAATATAATTCATATTATAATAATTATACCCAAACATATAAATTACTGAATATGTAACAGAATTTAATTAATTCAATTCGTGAATTTGAGGATTTGAGCTCCATTAGAAATAGTTGAAAAGATATGGAAATACTTAACACTGATATGTTTATATCCTTGCATTATGTTTATGCATGTACATACAATGCATCGTTTTCTACTAGGATAAAAACTACTTGTGCTCCTTCAGCACTTCCATTCTCCAGTGTAAAACGTGAGGTTCAGAAATGTTTTTCAGATGAAAACATCATTTCACAAAGTGGTCTGGACGACAGGGGATTTCTTAACCTCATCACTTATCCTAAAGTTATTATCATTCTAGAAGATACTTTCAATTATTCAGTTGTTATTGTCAAAGGTAATCTACCGTGCAATGCATTAAACTAACTAGAAGGCTTGAAATAATTGATAATGTCCCTGACATTTTAAATGCAAATTCAGCGTATTCTTTTGTCAATAAACACTTCAATGAAAATGAAAAAAATCTGACAATCATTATAATTCCAATTTGTTTATTTGTTTATTTTTTGGCTCAAATTAGTAGTATTCACATAAAAGTATTGCGAATGGATTTTTTCACGTTTTAAATTGACTTCATCTCTCATATATGAAAGGTGATGGAATTATCTCAATTGCTAAGATTATATGTTGCAATTATATGCAGGCTAATTTTTTATTGCCCTAAATGATACCGTAACACCAAAGAATAACTTTATATTTAAGGATGAAATGAGCATGTATACCATGTGATTTCATCACCAGTTAAAAAAGTGCAACTAGTCATATCTAATTTACATGTATTATTCACGTTGATTGCACTTACATACTGAATAATAGATGTCAATTCATCATGTAAACTCTGCAAATCACTTTCATTAGCAGCAGCACTGGTTTACGGACGTATTCCGGAGACGGGTGAGTTTTCCTGAGTAACTTAATCGTGAAAATGATTTATTAAAACTTTTTTGCAAAATTATTTCTTTTAGAGAGTTTCTATTTCAAATTATATTGCAATAAAACAGAGGTAAAATATTGTCTTTATTTTTTTTGGATATCCAAATAATCATTCAAAGCCTTGATTGATGTCATCTTATTCCGAAAAATTTATGAAAAATGGACCTTTTAGTATTGATATCCCCCCCCCCCAAAAAAAAAAAAGAGAAAAAAAACTCCAAATGATAATCCATTGAATTGGCTGAAAGTAAGTTAAATAAACCAAACAGATATTCAACAAAAAAGAAAAATGAAAATATATAGATAAAATTGTAAAGAATAAAAAGACAAAAATAAACAAAAACAAAACATTATATAGCGGCTATTTTGAGATATCGGACCTCAAGCGTGTCCATTATATTTCGTGCCAGGAAGAATCCTCAAATTTTAAACGTTTTGTGACATTATAACCGCCTTCAGAAGATATCTACCAATTTTTTGATGACGAACCTTCTCAAAACAAAATATATGCCTGCCAAAAAATATTGCCTTCATTTTCATATATAATATAGTCTATATAACACTTACTGATCATTGAGGCTTACTGAGGCTAAAAGGGATAGCAGACAGATTATTTTCTTTTCAACAGAATTCAATTTTAACGAGAGTTTGCACGCCATAAAATCCATTAGATTCTTCGTTTTTTTGTTGTTGTTAACTTGTTTTCATATCGAAGAAAGCAGCTATATGTACTGTAGATTCCTTGTTTTGAGCGGACACATAATATCACAGAATGACTCTTAGACGTCAAATCACATGAAGCAAATGGACGCTTGATAAAGCGATGTTACATTGTTTTCAACGCCATAACAATAAAAACAAGTAGTGTTTCTCAGCGAATGTGCAATTGATTTAAAAGAAAACTAACGTCTTTAGGTATGTTCTAAATTGGCCAAAATCGAGTTACATGTAAGTGCATTTTTATTTTTGACTGCAATGGTTAGTTACTTAAGTTCAGAAAGGAAAAAATCCGAAATACATGTATGAAATGTGAAGATAACGAACAGAGATGTTGGGCAATGAAGAGGCAACATTACTTTCACGAAAATAAAATTTGTTTCGTTTTGGACACATTTAGGGTACTATTATCGTGAGTTCTTATCACATTCGCTCAACAGTTCAAACCAGAATCGATGACGGTTCCACATTTTAACAGTTTTTCATAAACATGAAGTCGCAACTGTGTACAAAATGGACTTCGAGTTGAATTTAATTGAAACCAGAAAGTCAATTTGAAAGTCTGCATAGTGTGTCATGAAATAAAAATCTCCGACATAGAAATAAGGATTATCAGTAATAACCTATTCTAGATGTATGTACTCATTTGTACTCATAAATGTATTAGTATGAATTCATTTCCTATATGGTTGTATGATTTATTTGGTAAATAAAAGAATCATATGTCAGTATAACAATAATGCAGTAGTACATTAAACTAGTTATAGTCTTTTAGAATGATGTGGACGTCCGTCGTTCCTACTTTGTTGATCCTCCTTGTTACATTGTCCCTCATAAAAGCTTCGTCTCCGGCTGAATTCATGGGAGACATGAATGGCTACAGAAGTGCTTGTAAGAAACTTGGCTGGGAGCCAAAGCAAGGTTTGTTTCTTAAACGGTATGACTATATCAAGTAAAAGGCTGATAAACGTCATACGATATTCATGTAATTGTTAAAGCAGCATATCTTTTCCCATTGGTAAAAATGATATGGTAAACAATAATGTACTATAGTGATGTTTTTTTACTATAGTAAATCACAGTTTTTTCTACTGTAAATCTATAGTATAGTATTTTATATGAATACTATTCATATTATTTTTACGATGGACTTCAAATTTTAAAAGTTATATTTCGTTTTCTCCAAGTCATAAATGCAATTATTTGATTTTAAAAGGAAAAATTATTTGTAATATTTATATATTACTTCCAAAATTTACATCATCAGAGTGTAAGTAAATAAATTTTAGGCGCTAAATATCAATAAAAAGTTAAATGGTAAAGGTTAGTAGTGAACCAAAATATCAAAATTTATACTATAATTAACCATAGTAAGCATAAATAAAGTTTTGTTAGGGATATACAGAAAAACTGATTATATTAGACGAAATATATTGAAATATTTTCTACCCCCAAAGTTTAAAAGCATGTCTTTAAGATATTAATGCAAAGATATCATTTCTTCTCAATGTTCTTTTCAATTGATCAAAGTAAATGTTTCCTCTGTTTTTGACGTCTCCATATGAGTGAAAAATTCTCGAACGAGGCGTTTAAAAGCACACAATCAATAAATCAATCTTCTTTTTCGTAACGTGTAGATTGTACAGCTAACCACATCATTGCATTCCATGCCAACATAGATTCTCATCTCACCAATGTCCCAGTAAACACGACTATTCAATTCAACAACGTCCAGTTAAACAAAGGTGGAGCTTATGACCCTGAAACTGGCATCTTCACTGCACCGGAGGAGGGAGTGTACTCTTTTGCGTGGACTTTCCTGTCAAAACAAGGAGGAACCGTGTATATTGCTGCAACAATAGATAATGCAGATCGTGCCCATACGTGCATTGGAAACCAGCAAAGTCAATACATCAGCACTTCTGGTCACTTGGTCCACGAACTGAAGAAGGGAAATAAAGTATGGATCAGAGTTTGGCACGTTCCTGCCATATTCATACACGGTGGCTACTATACGTACTTTTCTGGAAGTAAAATTAACTCATTTTGAAAACTTAAGAAGGGGAAAAACATAACCTTGAAATGATGAAAACATGAACAAGACACGATTTTATATTCTGATTATAAAAGTGATTTTAAAAGCTTATAATTTAGATAATAAATATTGTTCATTTCAATAATTTTTAGAGAAATCTATTATTAAAGAATGACAGGAAACAAAATGACAATGTTGTATGTAATGCCTGATTTTTAGCCTGTCTCACTGCTTGAAGAACTATAGCCGGGGTAAAGACGAATAATGACCCCGTAGAAAAATGAAAGGGTTCATTTTTTCGACTTTTCGAAGTTTGGGCCTCAACGTTTAATTCCCTTGCGTTTTTCTGACGAAGAGTGAACGAACATGCATCTAAAATGTAACATACATGTAACAGCATTACATCTCTAGATCTGTTATACCTAGTTGGATATTTTACTGAAAAAGACAATCTAACAATATTATATACCATTATCACCTGCGTAGGATTAATGTTGACAATTTATCACAAAAGGCAAATCATTTTAGTCGAAAGATTTAATGAGACCAACATATTATACCGTATCCTCATTTTACGTACATCTCCGGTGAGCATTTTGGTCCACAAGCCTTTTGATTTATAATTCTTAATCCTTTCATCCAGAAAGAAAAATGCAAATATGTACATGTACCTAAAAACATACAAGGTTTTGAAAAAACCATTATTCTATGGGAGTCATTTCTCTTCGAGTAGGGAATGCAGATTTTAAGACTGATGCCACTTTTTTTACAGGGAAAAGGGTCATTTTTCGAAGTCGAATTATGATCAAGTGTTATTTGTCGACGTGGAAAAATGACTGGGAGTCATTTTTCAATGCCAAAAAATGACCCCGATCATTATTCTACGGGGGTCATTCTTCGTCTTTAAACCGGCAATTGTCAGTGTGTTCAACCGGAAGCTGATTGCACAACCGCCAAATCTTACGTGTAAAAATATAGTACTTACACTAGGATCTGAACTGCTGATTCGGAAGTAAACTGAGGACTTTTTTGAACAAATAAACATCAGTGGTTAAGTAATTTCCTTCATGTTCTTCAGTCAACTGAATTAACTGAACATTGTTTAAAGATATATGAAAAGTTTTTCATCAGGTCCCCCTTTCTGCGTCATATTCCATAAATACATGGTCTAGCATCAAGCTAGCACTTTTGTGGGGTGCACTCTACCTGGTACATGTATATACAGTAAGTGTAATGTGAATTTTGACCCTGTTTAATTTGGGTCATGGTATAAAGTTTCAAAATCATAATATTTTTCTACACCGTTAAATTCTAATTAAATTTCATTTAAACTTTTCGATATTGTTCATGTTTTACGCCACAAATCCCAGTTCTTTCATCTTGACATTGGCTAAAAGATAAGTCCAATTATTGTAACAAGTTTTCACTAAATCTTATAATAAAAGGGTCCTGCACTGATAGTAAAGACATGTATTGAATAAAAATAAACATTTTTTCTACCGCCCGAATTTCGTAGACTATATTCAACAATGAATTTTATGAAGCGACAATGGTTTAAAATACATTTAACAATAAAAGTCCCTCCATTAAACCATAAAAATATTTGAGTGAATGCGACATCCTTTTTAAAGACTTTATGCTGTTATTGATTTTTTCTCCCAAAGCAAATATTTATCTTAAGGGAATAATTTCAACCTTTGTTTTCGTAATACAGCTGTAATACACTTTTCGTAATACAGCTGTAATACACTTTTATATCAAATATGAACACTTATATTATGGAATTTTTGACAAACAAGACATCAAACGAAAGTTGATGGAAACACTATTACTGTTAATAAAAATTATGAAGATTTTTGCCATATATTCAGAGTTCGTATTATCATATAGAAACATCTGTGTAATATTTATTTATCTTCGGAGTTTTCTGGTTGACAATGATGATTAATTTATTTTCCATTTCGAGTATCACTGTGTATCTAGTCAATATTTACTGCAAATTTGTCATTAATTTTCTATGGTCTAAATTGTCTACTGATTTTTCCCTTTTCCTGTTCATGACAATGAGCACACGGCTGGTGTGACCGGTCGGCAGGTATTGCTTACTCCTCCTAGGCACCTGATCCTACCTCTGATGTTTCCAAGCGCTCGCTCCGTGATCGGAAGGTCATGAGTTCGAATCTCGGCCGCGACTGACCTAAGTCGATAAAAAAAATGGGTAGCGACTGTTCTTTCGCCATGCGCTCGTCGGCACTTTGAAATGAAAGTTGCGGTTCCTTCGGATGAGACCTTAAAAACCAAGGCCCCGTGTCACGACAGGCGTTGACACGATAAAGATCCCTCACTGCTCAATGGCCCTGAGTGCCGAGTAAAGGTCAAAATTTGAAGCCCCATCACCGGTATATTGTGACGTCTCTATATGATTGAAAAAATTCTCGAATGGGACGTAAAACAACATACAATCAATCAATCAATCTGATGTTTCAGGGGTCCGTGTTTTTGCCCTGTTCACAATTCGTTTTTTTACTGGATTTATGAGATTGATTACAGTTTGTTATCTTCATTATTTTCACCTTTTACATCAGGTTTGACAACCAGGTTTCCTTGCCGTGTATGACTTCTGGTTTTATCCTTCTGAAATATCCAAAATAGTAGCAACGACATTCACTTAATAATCAAAGTTAACAAGGAAAAAAGATGACAATCCTTGTATTCACATGACTTAAGAGTTTGAATTTCTGTTTTGAACAATTAGGATAGTATTAAAGGGTTTTTAAAAGAAAAAAGTATTTTACTTAACAAGCACAAAAATCGTAATAAAATGTAATAAAAATATTAACGTGGGTTTTTGTTCAGAGCTCGAGTGATTTTATGAAGTGAAATGTGTGAAATCAATCTCAAAATAAGTTACAGGTCAGTTTCTTACTCATGCATTGCTTGAAACACAGAAAAATAATAGTATTGGCGTAGGTTCGTTTGATATCTATATAAGTAGTGATTAAAAAATATAACTGTTTTTTTTCACCATGCTGATGACTAGAAAATTTTCACAGTTGAAAGTTGTATCAGAAGTACATGAATACACCTCATAGACATAATAAAATACACGAAAAGGCCGCTTGTAATGAATGAAATTCTTTCTCAATGTGTAGCAAAACTACTTAATGGCAATTAAAAACATAAGTTTCATGAACAGTGCGAGTTAGTAAATACATGTATGTTTTTCTCAAAATTGGGTTCCTTTTTTTCCAAAAGACAAGAGTCTCTTGTAACTTTAAAAAAGTTAGGTAAAGAGAGTTTGAGAAAACTGCGTTTGTAAACGAGCACTTGTTATGGGACCTGTTTTCCCATTTTAAAACATGTAAAGCTGCCAGTCGGAATCGTCATAGATGTAAGCAGCCAATCAGATGAATTCGTCCTAGACATTTCAAAGAACAACTGCGCGAGAGTTAAAAGACCCTGGACACAGTTGCATTTCCGTTTTACTTTTTCATTTTACTTACAATTTTAAATTCCTATTTTTATTTAAGAAATAACTTCAGTTTAATGAATTGATTTTACATGAATATTCTTAGAAGAATTATATGACAACGACATTTTTCATAAAATCACGTCGAACATCTGTTTTTGTAAACAGGGCACGAGCTCTATTATTGTAATGTTTACGTGTTATCTGGTGTATTCAAAATCTTTAATCTGCACACATCACTGAGCATGGACTGACAATACTGGTGAGTTGGTTTTGCATGCTCACATTTCTTCTCTAAATTTTCTTGATTATAGTTTTGATATTTTTCATTAATAGATAAGAAAATTTCTACTTTTCTTAAGTATTAACTATAAAGTTTACCTAGTGAAAGTGCAAGGATACATGTCAATTAAACGCCTCTCGAAATTTTTAAGCTTTAATAATTTCCAGATAGAAGAAGTTTCTAAACACGCTTTTATTAAATTTTGGTGTTAAATGCTCTAGTAACACATAGGTTATTATATTATGCTAAAAATTTTAGAAAATATTGATTTCAAATCTGTGTTAAAGCCCTTTTAAAAATAGGATAAAGAATGATAAAGAACGCTGTTTAAAGTTGTGTGAAAAAATTCTCTGACGTGGTTTCAATACCATGCACACTTACATCAAACCTTGTTATTCAATAGAATTCAAATTAATGGAAAAGTCAGGTGGTAGACAGGTTCTTAGCAACCGTGTATTGTGTACAATGGGACTGCATTCGGAGATATTAACTTTTCAATTATATGTAAAGGAGATGGGGGAACTAGGCGTGCAAAATCCTAAACACTCAATAGAAAAAAATATCATGTTAAATTTGTAAATTTAGCATTTAGAGTAAAGTTCTTATCATTGAAAGATATGAAATTATGAAGAAAACTCTGCGGAAAATTCTCTTGGCAAAAATTAATCTATAATTAAAAAAATGTGACATTCCTGGAGTTTGAACACAAGCAATTACAAAAACCCTGAATATTAATTTCCCTTTGTGATTAATACTCTAAACACTACACTACACTGCTCATTACAAGTAGCAGTATTCAAATCATGTTTGTGATACGACCTTGACTAAATGGACTTCAAATATGTCTGAGAAAAATACGAATGTTGTGTCATTTAAGTGTATTTTTAAGGTGTATTGGGTCTTTGCTCCGTATTTTTGTTAACCGAAGAAAGTATGTGTATATTTTTACGCAAACTTCAAAGAAATGGAGCGAAGACCAAACAATGGGAAAACATAGAATTGATCATTTTTGCCCTCTTTTGGTGCATGTATGCTTTTTCATAGACGAATAATTTCATTCGTTGTGGGATAGTTGCGATGTGTGGAGATTTACATACTGTAAAATGTAAATTAATGTTAAATGAAATATTTAAAAAAATTTTCTATAATGCAATCTGTTTTTGTCTGTCACAGGATGAAAAGCCAGGTTTCCCAAATTTGGAAACCCGATGGAAACATATGGGAATCGTGACATCAGTAGTTTCCATATAGTTTCCATTTTATGGAAACCACATAGTGGTTTCCACATAGATTCCCGATATGGAAACAATCAACCTGTGGTTTCCCATAAGTTTCCCAATATGGGAAACCGTGGAAACATGCAGTAGTGGTTTCCACGTATATTCCCGATATG